ATAATTTCAGATATTACCGTGTGGTAACTATTAGAAAATGTTGACTTTTAAAGGCAAAAACAGTATTCCAGATTTTATTTTTTATTGTATTTATTCATGGCTGCTGTGCTTTCTAAGAGGTATTTCTATGGATGTTTTCCATCCCCTTGTATTGAAGGAGGAAGGAATCAACTATCAAAACACCAGACATAGTATTCATTATGTATATGCAGAAAACATGCCTATGGAAAGATACCTTTACTTCATTTAGGGAAAATCAGTATAACTGGTGCAATGATGATAGAAGGTGAGAAGGAATGAGTGCAATGTTAATCATTAACCAAATCAAGTTGATTATCAAAAGATTAGAAAGGATTTATACATATCAACATAAAGAGGCATGTAATAATTGAAGCCAGAGTAAATTAAATACAAAGGAAAAGATTTATTTTAATTTCAATAAGAATGCATGTGTTTTGCATAAAGAAGGGAAAATGAAGCATCTGTGCTACCAGTTTCCCAGCATATTTTATAAATAGTTGAATAGTTTTTCAATGTTTGAGCTTGAGTGTTTTAAAATTATCTGTTTACTATATTTTCCCAGCTAGTCTGGTTGCAAAGGGGAGTTATATTTATCTTCAGTTTCTTGTAAATGTTTGTATCCTTATTGATTTTCTTGTTGCTAATGAAATACTTTGGCATTAATCAATTACATATACATCATTGCTGCCTTTATTCTTCTTTCAAATGGATGTGTAGTTTTGGTGCCTAGTTGTTACTAATCTGCTGGTCAACTTCTTTCTCAGCCATTCAAACCACTGAGGCTGTTGTATTGTTTTCAATTGCTTCTTCTTGAGTCTTTCCCACATAATTTATGTGAGCTAGCTGTGTAACTGACCAGAAAAATATGACTGCACACACAGCACTCTCCCCAGTATAGCTACCCCAACATGCAAAATGAATGGAATGTCTACTCTACCCTTTCCTGGTTTAAAATGCCTCTTGACATTCCTTCCCCACACAGCTCAAAGCTAGCAGCCAAATTCTACTTGGATCTACATTATAGGGCTGGAGATAAAAAAAAAAAAAAAAAGAAAAAAAAAAAGGACTCTCTGTGGCGTCAATCACCTCTGGCAAATTGGGAAGCGAAATTCAACCCAGAATCTCTTCAATGTTTTATCCAAAGATAATAGATTTTCCCATCCTTTTTCTTTAAAAGGTCTACAAAAGCAAATGAAAGAAGGTAGTTACACTTATTTAAAACAATATTTAAAGAAATTTAGCCAAACTTGCGGGCAGAGATTTAACAGAACTCTGCTGGAAGGTTTATTATTTTTTTTATACCATCTTATTATTTAGCCCTGCTCAGACAGAACAGTGATATTAACACAGCCACAAGTTCTGTGTTTACAGTAGAGCGCCCATGATTGCTACCACCTGTGAAGCTGCACCACGGTTATCCAGCAATGAGAAACTTTAAGCTCAGTGTACACAAGTTCCTGAATGAGCGGGTGCATAATTTTCACTAACATTGATAGATGCTATATATGCACTTTGAGAGAAGAATAAACTACAGAGGCCATTCAATGATTTAGGGTAATTGTTGAGACCTGTTCCCACTGAGATCAACAGAAGTTTTAACACTGACTTCAGATATTGCTTAATTCCACCTGGGCACAGTCTGACTGAAGAGGCTTTACTGTTTATAGCAGTAGTGTTTTGAGTTTGTTTGTTTTAAACGTTTTGGCTAGTTCTGTAAATACTGTACAAGGTATCTAGGGTGACCAGATGTCCTGATTTTATAGGGACAGCCCCGATTTCTGGGTCTTTTTCTCACATAGGGATCTATTACCCCCCACCTCCTGTCCCGATTTTTGACACTTGCTATTTGGTCAGCCTAAAAGTATCTGTCAGAGTTCAGCGTAGTTTATTATTTCAGGAGTTCAGGAGAACTGAGGGACTGTTCTTATATCCACTCACAAAATATGGTTATTGGCCACTCTTGAGCGGCAAAACCACAAGGGGTTCTGCAGGTTATCACAAAGAAGTGCCAACCAAACCTTTATGCTATGCCACAGCATTATATAATTTATCTAGTCTCTTTCTATTCCACCTATCTCCTTAGGTTTTGTACTGCCGTATTATACCAAAGTTTTTGAGCCCATGTAATGCTGCATAATCTGATTGTTTAAAATAAAATTGGCAATATTTTTTGTATCACTTAGCCTCTAACTCCATGTACCCTTAGAGCCCAATCTTATATTGTACTAAGCAATTCATTGTGTGTTGAGAGTCCTGGACATGTTGTAAGATCAGACTCTTAATAACCAGGAGTACACATGTACTATCTTGTGAGTCAAAGGAGAAAAATATAACTATTGCATTTAAAATATCTCAAAAGTTAAACTAAAATAATATTTGTTTTACTCTAGTGTAGTTATGGTCAGGAGCTAATTGTGCGAAGTGCTGTACAATCACAGACCAAAAAGAAAGTTTTGCTATACATGAAAATGTCACTGTCTTAATGTCTCGGGACCTTAAAGGACTGGAAGCAAGCACTCTCTCTCTCTCGCAGCAGAATCTGGAAACTCATGTCTAGTTCTACATTAAAAATGTCCCATTTCTAGCTCTACAGGGTTACCTGTCACTGCTACAGGCCATAACAGTCTTTTACACACCTCAGCACAATTTAAGTTTTTTGAGGGCAGAGGGTTATGGGAGAATTCAACATTTAGGAGGAAAGAAGGAAACACTTTTGTGGAAGCTTGATTTAAATTACTGACGATATTAATGTTTGAAACTGCACAGTGGTTTCAAATGTTAGAACAGGGTTCAGCAACCTTTGGCACATGGCCACCAGGGTAAGCACCCTGGCGGGCCGGGCCGGTTTGTTTACCAGCCGCGTCCACAGGTTCAGTCAATTGCGGCTCCCACTGGCCACGGTTCACCATCCCAGGCCAATGGGGACGGCGGGAAGCGGCGCGGGCTTCCTGCTGCCTCCATTGGCTTGGAGCGGCGAACCGTGGCCGGTGGGAGCCGTGATCGGCTGAACCTGCGGATGCGGCAGATAAACAAACCAGCCTAGCCCACCAGGGGGCTTACCCTGACATGCCATGTGCTGAAGGTTTACAATCCCTTTGTTAGAATAAGTCCTGAGAAGCTGGGTTAGTGAGCAGAGTGCAAGTGAACCTGTCAAATGTGCATGATAAATTCAATTTATCACATGACTCCACAAATTATCTCATGGATATTATTTCCATGTATGTGGCGTGTGTGTATGTTTGTATCTGTGCATGTCTGCATGCATGTATATGCGCACATACATTTCAAGGCCATTTAAGAAGATAATTGCGGGACTGGATGACTTAGGATATTGGTCCTGAAGTATGGGACTTTCACCACCAGTTCAAGCAATGACAGAAGGCAGTTACCATTTAATGTGTGACATGATTTTGTGGTCTCACTCCAAGTTCATAATGCACAGCTGTGGGCATCTCAAAAACCCACTACTACAGCTGCCATCCTGGTATGTATGCTCAGTGGAGACATGGAGACTCATACCTGTCTCATCCCTATACATGGTCCTCACAATTAAAGGATGATACACCTTGGCAAGGCTTGTACTTACATTTACCATCCTGTGGTTAAACAAACATTTTAGTGTCTCCAAGACTGTTAAACCAGTGCTTTCCGTAAATACTGAGCACTTGATCCAAAACTGACTTAAGTCAATGGAAAGACCAGGACATTTAAACAGCTTGGTTTTGATATAACAGTCTCCAACAGCTATTTGGAAAAAAAACTCTTTGGAAAGACAGTAACAAATGTCTGATGTTGCTGCATTTCTCTTCAGAACTCAGATGGATTTCTGTAGGATTTATATTTTAAGAAGAAATTCTGACACCTACGACCATCAAGTCACAAAAATCATGAGTGCCTTTTATCTTGAAACTTTCCAGGAAGGTGACCAATGAAATCAGAATTAATAAATAAAAAAGCCTTGGTAGGCACATTCCCCCTCTGCCTTAAACCTTCAGCCCCTCTCACCTCACTTCTCTTCTGATTTCGTGTTCACTGCACACATCTGATCACTTTAGTTAGGGTGTTCTAAAGAATCTAAATCTGTCATTATTCGAACCCATCACTGGATGTCAGTTTGGCTCTGCATTGTATAAACCAACTTTTTTTTCCCCCCTAGCAGTAAAATACTTGTCTCCTCACCCCTTCACTACAGTTGGAATGGGCATGTATTGCACTGGCAGGTTTTTAGATCATATCCATTCCGATGAGAAGAACGCCTGTGTAGCCTTAAGACTATTGCTGGGATTTCTTTAGGCGTGTGAAAGGGTTAATGGAAGTTTGAACAAGACATTTCAAGCACCTAGTTTCTAGTTTTAAAGAGATTTTTATTATAGTATTTTATGAACAGAGCTGAACTAGCTTTGCATCTACACATTGTCAGGAAATGGGTCTTTTTTTTCTTTAATATGTAAAAGATAAGGTTACACAACTGAGTTTAATAAAAAGCTTGAAGTGATTTAGTTTGTCTATGTATGCTCATAATGGGTATATGAAAGACATACACTTTAGTAGTTCAGATAAATGAAAATGCAAGCTATAGTACTAGAATCAGAATAGTATTAGAATCATATGGTGTTTAATTACCGGTCCACATTTACTAGATGAAGGAGAGGAGAGGAAAGCTCTTCTTCAAGAAACCATGGGCAAACTTTAGGAATTGCTGATTCAAACAGACTAGTGAGGAGGCATTGTGCATAATCTCAAATATTTTTATTTTTTATCCTGCTGATTGGACAGCCTACACTTTATAGAATGATGCTATTTTAATAATACTAATATGTTTCAAATCTCTTTCTGTTTAATCCCATCTCCTTTAGATGTTGTACAGGTGGGATTTATTTTTAATTGCCTCTGGGTTGTGAACTGGAAATTGCATTAAATTATAACGTTTTCAAATGTTAAGAAACTAAAGGAAGCATTCTGTTGTATATCTATACCAGCAAACAGTTTATGAAGAGACAACAGATGTGGTGACTGAAGGTATGACTGTGGAAACCACTTATGTGCCTTCTGCATACCTGGCAGAGATCCTTCGACTCCTGCAAGCCTTGTCTGAAGTGGAAGACCTCCTTAACTCTCCTGATCTGCAGGGTAGGGACTGTGAGGATCTCTTCAAACAAGAAGAGTGTCTCAAGGTAAGATGCTAGTCTTCTAATAGGAATATACACATCTGAATTTATAAAGTAATGGGACACCATAAAGTCACTTGTTTTATCTGGCCTTTGAAGAGAGAAGTAGGGGGATTGAGGTATGTGTGTGTGAGAGAGATTATAAACACACATGAAACAACTAAAACTAAAAACCAAGTAGAATGTGAGTGGGTTTTTTACATTATATTTCATGGCAGATCTCAGAGGCTTATGACATTAGAGGGCTAGATACTATGTCAGTTGTGTAATTAGATTCATTGGGTAGAAAATATTGTCAATCAAATACTAAATTCTAGGCAAGGAAAAAGAAAGACTTTGTAGGAGAAATTGTGAAACCTGGAATGTCACTGGGCCTGATTTTCCATCCCTTACACTAATGTAAATCATGTGTAGTTCCCTTGAATTTGGTGGAGTTACTCCAAGGTAATTGGTGTAAGAAGAGAATCAGATCAGTATCATAAACTGAACAAAATGAATGGTTCGTCAGTTTTTATGTAATAACGTTTGTGTCAGAAGGAGCCTTTTTATCACTGTAAAAATAAGTGCTATATATGATGGTAGCACTTTCAAGTTGTAAAAGAGAATGAACAAAAGACCATGTTTTTATTTTTGCTTTTAGCATTTTCTGCATAATTCCTTTAGCCCATAAATGATTAGTTACATGCTCCTTCCACAGGTAGATAAATAGAAAATTATAAATTTATTAGTCCTAGGAAATTAGGATGTTGTCTGTCTATTATACCCATAAAATGACACATGAATAAAGTAGTGGAGAAAGAGATATACATGATTATTTCTTGTTCAGTAATCTACATTTCAATAGTCTTGAAACAGCAGTAGGATATTTCTTAACACGCTTGCAGTTCAGTTTCAGTAGTTCAAGTGCTTCTAGGTACTGTATATTGATTTTCCCTAATCAATTTCTGAAGCAGACAACATGCCAAAGTTATTGTCATTTTTTATTTTAAGTAATTGCCCTTGTTAGAATGGTTTGTATATATGCAAAAACGTCATAAAACATGTAAATCACTGCTAATGAGCCACCACTTGGTCCTTGTTTATATAGTTTCTGTGTTAATGACTAGCTTGGTTGGAGGAGCAGTGACCCAGCAAGAAGCTTACTGGCAGTTGAGTGGCTCCCTATTAGTGCTCCTTAATGGCTTACACTTGTGCTGTCTTGGTCTGATTTACATTCATCACTAATCACTTGTTCACCCACACACATTTGATATTATTATAGCTGACACCAACTTTAATTATATCGATTGCTGTGGTTCCAAGTAAGTATTGCCATAGGTTTAATTTAACTGAGCTATTAAATTGTCATGAGATGCGGTTGTGGGCACAGTTCCATCTTTCTCACAAATAAATCTCTTGCAACAGTCAAATGGATCTTGCACATTCATGGGCTTTTGGAAGGGGTATAGTTTTTTTTTTCCTGAGCCTCTTTAATGAATATTTATTTCCTAGTAAAAGCATTCATCATTGTCATTACCCTGCAGTAAAAATGGAAAAGTAGTGCATAAATTGTACAGTTGCTGGTTGGGGAAGGCTTGAAATTAAATTGTGGTTGATTTTTATCCCTGACAGATTTGCATGAATCAGATTCCAGGATTGTAGTGGAAATCTGTGTTTTTAAAACTAATTTTGTGATTTTTTTCTTAAGTCAAATAATTATTTGCTATTCTAATTAATGCTTTAAAAGAAAAACAAACTTGCATACAAGAACCTTGCAATGATAACTGCTTTGAATAATTTTCACAACAATATTTATGAATGGGAATATTTAAATGAGGGATTTCTTTGCTGTTATGGTCAATCAAAACTACTAATACATTGGAAACATCAAGAACAATGGCAAAAAAGTAGTTTTAATCATTGATTTGGCTGATAATTCTCACATTGGCTATTTATAACAGAGAGTGAATGGAAAATGGCAAAATGTGAAAATGTTTCTGTAATTGCAATACAAGTATTGTGCTAATGTCTAACCTCTCTTAAATTATAAAGATTGTATGCATTTATTTGGTAGTTTTTCAGATACTGACTTGCAGGAATGTTTTCTTCATTCTCAGGTTTACTAAATTGAAGGATCTGATGGGCAGGGCACTTAAATTAAATCTCATGAAGGCAATAGTCACAAAATTTGCATGACCTCAAGTGGGTTACTCACACTTTCAGGCATGTGAACCTATGTCTTTTGTGTTTTATACTCCATCAAACCCACTGTCATTGTTTTAACAAATAATTAAAACATGGCAGGTCTTTCAAAAAAACCCTCCTGTTGAATAGAGTGGGAATTACATTTCATACATCGGAGTATTGGAGGATTAGGTTACTGAGAGACTTTCAAATAAGAGAATTACAAATAATTTTGGTTTCTCTTGCTGCTACTTCTAATGAATGGACATAGTTATATTTGGATACAGGCTTTCTCCCTCAGAAGACGGCTTCCTGCAGTTTAATTCTAATCCCGTGTTTATGATCTCTTATTCTTCCGATATGGAACTAATTGCGATGTCATAAATTCACCATTATAATTTCACTGCAGAGTCAGGTATGGAGAGAAAATGGGCTGTGTGAGGGAGAAAGCACAAAAAAAATCTTAGCTAATTACTAACCGTGGCAATGGAAACCCTAAACACTGCCTGAAAGGTAAATGCATTTATGATTTTATATACTATACTAACACTTTCATCAGTATGGAAGTCTGCCTGAAGAGTAAAAAAAAGAGGAATTAAAAAAATCTGGTGTATAAAGGACTAAATGAAGACCTGGCTTACATCCCATGCAAGTCCATTTATTGTGATTAAGGTGCCTGGGATGTAATAGGAGACTATGGCCTAAGATGGGGGTGGATTTCTGTTTCATTTAGAACATTGGTTTTCAAACTGTGGGGCATGTCCTCTTAAGGGCATGGGATGAGGTTATTGGAGGAGTGTGTTGGGGCATGGGGCTGCAGCCAGCTGGATGTTTGGTGGGGGGGAGCCAGAAGAATGAGGAGAAGGCTCAGGGGAGTCCCCAGTGGTTGTGGTTTGGGGGATGGGAGTGCAGTCCCTCCCACCCTGCCCCAGAAGCCTCTTCTCTCCTCCCTGACCACTGAGAGCTCCCTGCACCCTCTCCCTGCTGCTGCCCTGCCCTGGCCCAGACACCCAACTGTCGGCAACCCTGCGTATTTTAAATCCTCCACAAACTGGGAGACCAAGAGACTCTGGGTTGGGGGGGAAGTAGGAAGAGGAACCCTGATTGCTCTGATCTGCACTGTGATGCCATGGGCTCCTCTGGGGATGGAGCTAGCTGGGTCCTGCCAACGCCCCAGTTATGAATCACCCACTCCCTTTGGTGAATCACTTTGTGTCCTGAATGTGCAGGAGGTTTTTGTTTGTTTGTTTGTTTGTTTTTTGCGGGGGAGAAGATGACTGTTGTGTGACTCCCATGAAGAAGGGCTGTGGAGCAAAACAAAAAGTTATATACTGGTTAATGGAAATGGTATTTTTTTATAGAAAATACTTGATAGCATTGCGAATGAAAACTAATCCTTAGCAAATGTGAATTAACATTTTCCCAGTAACAGAAATGAATGATCCCTTTTTATAATGTACAACATATTTATGTCTACTCTGAGTTTTATATCCATGTCTATAAAAGTGTATCATTTAAGATGAATTTCTTTCATAGTATGCCACTTCAGTACTCAATCATATTTCAACTTTGAAATTAAAATGTTCATGTTTTAAGGCTACTCAGCATGTACAGTTAAATAGTATACACTTTCTTTGTTTCTTTCACTGTCTTGCATTTAGTAGGAACATATTTTATAATAAGACTTGAGTCTGCAAACATTTATAGATAATTTTTTTCAGTAACTGTTATCACTGAAATCAATACGATTATGCCCATGAGAAAAATAGCTCAGATGCATCAGTATTTGCAGAATTGGGTCCATAATATCTTAAAATACCCTTACCTAATATATTATTTCCAGTCAGCCTCCTTGTCAATTTATTTCATCCTTTTTTAAATCCAGGAATCTTTTCTGCTCTACTTTATGTATAATCTCCCTTCTCTTCTCCATTTTATGCATGATAATTCTTGTCCCTTCATATATCCCCATTTTATACATACATCCAGCAGCTTTCTTTATGTCATCCTTTTACTGTAAGTCCTTTCAGTCTACACCAAATGCACTTTAATTACTCTGCACCTACCATTCTCACAGCCAGACTACTTTCATAATCCTCTCTAAATCTGCTGTATTAAAAAATCATCCATATCAAATATTATATTTCAGTTCTAGTACAAATTTTAAAACTGTAATTAAGTTGCAGATTTTTTCCCTGCCATTCGTGAGTGCTACAACCTGTGCTGTTGCCAATTTTGACGTCCGTATAAAAACTGTGAGATATAATTACAATATTCATGTAAGGACAGTGCATCATCCTACGTATGTTTTGTTTGCCAAAAAATTATTTGCGTTTTGTAAATGAAATTCACATCTGGATCATATCAAGTGATCCCAGGCAACAAATACGGGAATCAGGAAATACAACTTAATGAAGAAACACTAAACATGAAGTTTAAAATGGTTTTCTGCTGTAGCTCAGCAAAACCTAATTAACTACAACTTGGAAGTCAGAGTGATTGAATACACTTCCCAACTTGATCTATCAGTAATGTGATGCTTGGTACACAAATGGCCAAAGAATTGGATTTGTCCAGTGTGTTGTCCTCAGCTGTCAGATAAAGACAAATTCACGATAGTGAAAATGAACTGGAGTTTGAGTCTCTAGTGTTCTGATTTCTCTTTTTCAAGGGCAATGAGATGGATCCACTCCCCAAAGGCTGCTGTCACTTCAGCTGCTAATGGGTTTCTCTAATCCTTTGTTCTTAGAAATGAAAGTTGTGTGCACTTTAGTTAACCAGGTTACAAAATCTCCCAAGGCCCTCTTGATATCTAAAACAACTTGAAGTGATTTTTTTCATCT